AGAACTCGGCCACACTAACTCATCATCTCCGCAGTAGTGGATGCGCCTGTATATATGTTTCATACGGATTACATAATCAGAATATTTGTTTTCCATTTAAATTGGTTTATTTGAAAGTAGACATTTCACTCGCTATAGGTATATTTTTTATGTCTGAAAGGCAAGCCTGCACAGTTTTGGAGTTTCGCGCTCAAGTTCACAGAGACTGAGATGGCAGAAAGCGCATCCTGTTTGCTTTCATTATTTTACAAAAGCGCAATGTTCTGTTGTTGTTGTGAGTGCACACAAATAAACGTAGAGTCTTTACAGATTTGAAAGATGTATTACTCTTATCTCTATGACCAAAAATTACGGAGTATTTTAGGAGCAAGAGCACCGGCGCCTCCATCTGTCCTGCAGTGAGCGCTACTGTTCAGCTTCCACACACTAGAATAGTGCACATTTCTCTAGGATAACATTAGATTGAGCGGCCATGTAAAGTTGCTAATACTTACATATTTCAGATGATAAGTCATATTTGAGGTCGATGAATGATAGTCGAGTGTTTGGATGTCCTGCCCGTTGATGTACTCTATTACCATAGACTAACGTTAGCCATTAACGATCTGTTAGTCATGGACTGCATGACTTCGCCTGTGGATTTTTTTTTTCTGCGACTAAGCGACTAATAAAATTTTGGTCGACCAAGCCTCTTCTGGTCAACTAACGATTAGTCGACTATTAGGGGGCAGCCCTAAAATTTTAAATACATTTTAGTATATTTATTTTTCTCTAGGAGAGTTACTTTGTTTTCCCATTTATTCACTGACACCTCTGCTGACCCCGTGTCGAGAGAAATCAGGAGTGAGATGCAGAGACACTTCCTTCAGCCTGAGGCTTATTAATTTTACTTTTGGTGTGAAAGGGCCTTTCCAGTTACCAAAAATCGAACTTTTTTTTGTTTTTTGTTATTAAAAATAAATAAGCAAGCCCAGCCCAGGTGACAAAAAGTAACAAAAAAGTAACGCAATGCATTACTTTTCATAAAAAGTAACAAATCAGTAACTTTTTTATAGAGTAATACAATACTTTTAAAAGTAACTTTCCCCAACACTGTTGGCTTTCCACCAAAATTAGTTAAAAAATATTGGCATATCGGATATCAGGAAAGAATCCAATATTGTGCATCCCTATTCCTAATGATGCATGATTTCCATGAAGTGAAGCACTTGCCCATTCCTCCTCGTCGTACTCTTTGTGGTGCGGGATGGAGTCGGAGTGGACGGGCGACGCTCGGCTTTCTCTCGGCGGCGTCTGGGAGCCGTCCACATTGTTGCAGACGCTGTGTGGCTTCTCGGTGGCGCTGGGGTGCGGATCGGCCGTGGCTGGGGCAGGGCTGGACGGAGCGGAGCTCTGACTCTTGCTGACGTATCCGGGACGGGCGGCATGCAGTGCCAGGAGAGCGCTCTTCACCAACTCATCCTTCAGAGCGTGAACAAACTGCTCCGTCTGCAGACAGACAGAGAAGAGCCAGCATTTAATAACCAACATTTCATTAAAGTACAGCGCAGCATAAGAGCGTGTGATGAAGATTAAAGGGACAGGACGAGACACGCAACAGAAAACTAATAACAGCGATGGTATAGTCGATAGAAATGCAGAAGAAAGAGCGAGAAGAATTAGAGAGACACAAAAGACATGCCGGTTCTTCTGAAACAACAACAACAACAACAACATATGATTCAATTAATCTACAGAGTCGTGTGAATATTGAAAAGATTGCAAGAGAAACAAAAAGAGCAGGACGACCTCATTCATATTCATAGGTACTTGTACATATGTATATTTTTCTATGTTTTTGAGAAACTCTCAAAGTAGGCAACGTCCAAACGTCTGATTTCACAGTGAAAACCTCATCGGGAGACTTGTGAATAAACTTGATCTGAGAAAAAACTTTTTAATGTCAAATTGATTTATAAATGAAATCAAGATGAGACATAAAGTAAACATCCTTAGCACCATTTGTGAAATAAATAAATGAAAAAATAAAATAAAAATAATAAAAAAAATTGTTGTTTGGTTAATATAATAGCGCTATAAATAAATAAATAGTTCTAAATATTTTTGAATCAATAAAATGCAGTTTGATCAAAATCACAAAAAAAAAATAAAATAAAAATAAATTAAATAAACATTTTAAATTAATTTCTTTACAGTAGCTTTTTGGTTCTTTTTTATGGTTCGCATTCAGTGTGAGCGCTAATCGCGCCAGAGCACGGAACAGATATGTTTTGTGTGCGCTACTGTCATCATTACGACCGCAAACATATTCTATTACTACTACTACACTACACTTTTCAATTAATTTTGTTCAATCAAGTATATTTAGATTTATAATGGCTCTGGTTCTCACCTTATTGATGAACCGGAAATGTAGTTTGCGAGTAAAGCTGCAAATTATTTAATTAAAATCAGCTGCCTCCGTAATAATTCTCTGATACATACAAGTGAAAATCAATGCACAACATAAATTATAAATGAATTATTATTAATTATTTGGCAGAATATTAGCGAAAGTGTTTTTCTCCATTATCTCATACATGACGCAAGCGTGCTCTGGCCCGGAATGTTTAGTGCAAGTGTGAGTGCAGACCAGCGGGGGAGTGGGGAGGGGGGATAATCGCGCTCGGGCTCGGTTCAAGGCAACCGTGCCTAGTGTGAGTACACCCTCCAGCGGGCCGTATTAAAAGACACTGCGGGCCACCAGTTGCCCATCCCTGGTATATATAAATGAAAATGATTAAATATAATTCTTATATCTGTTAATTTAGAGAAATATGCCTTACAATTAAGAGTTTAAAATTTTGAAAGAGTTTGAACGTTTAACTGAAAAATAATGATATAAAAATTATAAACATATAATAAAAAAAGAATATAATAAATAAATAAAATAGTTTTAATATAAAATGATTTCAAATGGCTGTTTGTAATAAATAAATAAATAAAAAGTTCTGAAAGATTTTGAATCAACAAACTGCTGTTTGGTCAACATGATAGTTCTAAAAAATAATAAAAAAATAAAATAGCAAAAAAAATCATAGATTTTTTTACAGTTGCGTTTTGGTTAATATGATAACAGATTTTGAATCAACAGTTACAGCTTCTGTTTGGTTAAAATGATAGTTCTAAAAATTAAAAATAAATGAATAAAATAAAATAAAACATTTTGAATTCATTCCTTTACAATTACTGTCTGGTTAATATTATCTCTATTTAAATAAATAAATAAATAAACTGACAGACAGACAGACAGACAGATAGATAGATAGATAGATAGATAGATAGATAGATAGATAGATAGACTGATAGATTTTAGAACATTAATTTTGTCTGAACATCAAATGTATGATTGATTTTAGAACATTAATTTTGTCTGAACATCAATTGTAACTTTAAAGTTGCACTGCAAGTTTTAACTAAAATGTTTAAAACTATGAAGTTACAAATGCTGTTTGTTTAAAATGATAGCTCAAAAATAAATAAATAAATACAATAAAAAAATAAAAAGAAATAAAAAGTCACAGCCCTAGATGGTGTGCTTGCAGTGTTGTACACAAGTCTAATGCAACATCAACACGCACCCACACAAACAGTCGCTGAGGGCTGGAGATTTCAATCAGCAGAAGCGTGTGATCATGCAGCGGCCGTCGCACTGCTAATCAAGGAGGTGAAGAGCGGCGGCAGAGAGAATTAAGCAATGAAGGCGGCTGATTGGCGATATTCCGCTGTGGCAGAAACAATCTCTGTGTCACAGATTGCACACTGACGGCAGCAGATGTAATTCATTAATTACACACATAAAACACGAAGGCCTCCAAACGAGACACTCGGCCCGGTGGCTTCTGTTGGCTTTGGCAGAGGGGAACGTGACAGACCCATGGTCATTTGTCAAACAGCCTTCATGTTTACAAACTGACCCATTTCAGGCCGAGACTCGGTGGTCTGAGTGAACGGGACAACAAACACGCTGCGTTTGTTTGTTGATGTGAAATCTGGTGTTGTCTACAGAAACACAGAGAATATTCACTGCTGTACCGATTCAGCATGCAATTCATTTCAATGATGTATTTTAATGATTTGGTGTAATGGTTTTTAGTCATGGTACCATGGTAATACCATTTTTAAGCCATAGTGCTATGGTATTATACAGTACAGTGATATATGTTAAAGCACCATGGTATTACGGTACAAGCGCAGTACTGTCGTCTGGTACAGACAGCAAATGTTAGTGAACTAGCCATTGTTTCTCTCAGTGATTCAGCAGAAGCAGCAGCAGCTTGTGCATGTGGATAAATTGAGTGTGACAGCAGCGTATTTCATTTGCAGAGATATTTGCCCTTAAAGCATGAACATTTGCAGGACTATTAACAGACGCATTATCAGCTGCACTATTCTGCCTCATTTTACATTTATGCTCCCAAAACACCATCTTGAAGATTAATACTTTCTTTAAAATTGTACTTTCAAACTTTATGCAATTCCAGATTGACTCGGGTATTCAAGGACATTGGCTAAATTGCGTCTCGAATAAAGATTTTTCAAGGTTTTTTTGATGAGTCATAGTAATACTATAATGAATCCTCAACTACACCTCATGTCCAGTTATTATGAATAAATAAATAAATAAATAACTTAAATAATTCTATTTTTTTTTAAATAAAATATTTATTTGTTTGTTTGTTTATTTCAAGGACATTGGTTAAAATCATAAAAAAGTGTTTTTTGAGTCATAATAATACCATAATAAATCTTTACCTAAACCTTACATCCAGTTATTACCTTAAAAAACTATTTTTGTATAATAAATAAATAAATAAACAAACAAATCAATGAATGAAAAAATATTAATAATAATAATAATAATAAATTAATGATACATTTATTATTATCTATTTTAATATTTTATTAAATAATTAAATAATAATAATAATAATTTCAGAATGGATCCTCACCTACACCTCACGTCTAGTTATTATCTTGGAAAAAATATTGTTTTTTGTATATTAAAAATAAATGTAATTAAATTAAATATTATTAACTATTAATTATTAAATAATAGTTTTTTGATGAGTCATAATTATACCAGAATGATTTAAAAAAAAAAATGTATGTACATCTCACGCCCAGTTATCTTGGGAAGAAGAAAAAAAAAATGTCGATTTTGGGGTCAGTGTGACTCCTTTTCTTAAATTTTCATGTTTTTGAAAGACGTTTCAGTAAAAACAGCAATACTGTGAAATATTATTACAATTTAAACTACATTTCTTATTATTATCTTATGATTAAGTCGCACCACTTCACATTTTTGTGTAAATGGTGACGCATTTTCTTCAGTAATCTCTGAAGAACACAAAGTTCATAAGAAGATCATTTATTTGAAATAGAAATCTTTTGTAACATCATAAATGTCTTTCCTGTCCCCTCTGATGAACTGAATGCCCTCTTGCTGAGTGTCTGCAGTCTCACCTTCTCCTCCAGGCTCTTGAGGACGTCTCGGAGAGGCTGGCTGGAGCTCTGCTGGGCCGTCTGGAGCAGCTGGTCGGCCAGCGCAGAGATGTGCGGCTGCAGCTGGGACACCACACACAGGATCTCGCGGGCCTTGGCCGTCTGTTCTGGAGGATAGTAAATGCACTGATACGCCGTGCTGTGGCTGGAGGACGTCATACAGCAGCCAGAGAGACAACAGAAACAGAGACACAGAATTAATAACAGCAGGGAGATGAAGAGCGTCGTCTTGCTCATCATCAAACAGCTGTGATTACAGCTCTGCAGCACATACACTGTGACAAAATATATCTAATAAACCCAGCCGAACCAATTCCAGTCCCTGCTTGAACAGCGCTGGCTTCCTGAACATCACGGCCGTGTTTCATCTGAGCTCGGGAGACACTGGCAGCCAGGAGAAATGACTGTTTTTGAAGGGATCATATCATGCATTTTTAGCAGATCATTTTTTCCCTGATGGCCACTTACACAGTTTGCATCTAAAAAAGTCATGATTATTTTTTTTTCATGACGCGTTACCCTCTCTGTGACCCTGTGGATGTTTGTATAGATGACCTCTGTCTGCAAATAAGACAATGGACTAGAAATGAACGATGACAGACATGAATTCAGGCCTCAATTTGGACAACAAAATGTCTTTTAATAATGTCTTGTACCAATATGATGTCAATAAAAAAGCACTAAAATAAATCATTTTATTATTTAAAAACATTATTTATATATTATTATGTACTATTTATTTTAAATAATATCATTATATTTTTATGATAAAATAATGAATTATCAAGTATAAAAGAAATAATTTTAATATTTAAAAAATATGATTTAACTATTGTTATATATTATTTCTTTTAAATAATAAAATGATATGTAAGTATAAAATAATGTTTTAGAATGAATACTTATTAGTAAAATTATTAAGATTTCAATACATTTAAAATATGAATATGAATATGAAATTATAAATATTAACAGCATTACTAAGAACAATTTCACACAACTTTATCACTTAATTATACAATTATAATATTTTAGATTTATTATTTATATTATATAATTTGTTACATATTATTTATTTTAAAATATGAATACAATTTTATTTATATATTTATAAAATATTAATATAATTATTAAAATAGATTACACATTGTTACGGTTGAGCACAAGTAGGCAACAGACAGCGGGTCCAAATGCAGTTTAAGATCCTTTAATGATAGTCCACAGAGATATACGGCCAAAATACATGACGGAACCAAGAAAGGGCCACAAGCAACACAGGAGGTAACACTTATCAACAACTCACAACAGACAATGGCAGACCAAGGCTTAATATACACAAACACAGGACCAAACAGGAAATGGAATACAGCTGAACCAGGTAGCCTGATGGGAAATGGAGTCCATGACCAGAACAACAGGCAGGAACACAAGACAACACAGGAACGCCCTTTAGTGCCTCACAACCGGGCGTGACACATATATTTCATCACTTTTAATTATACAATTATAATATTTTAGATTTATTTAAAATTGTATATATTTTACTTCATTTTTTAAATTTACACTAACGACTGATGCATACTTGTAAATGGTAAGCCCTATTATATATATTTATCAACATATAAAATAATATTAATAATATATACATATATAAAATGTGAACATTCATGTGCTACAAACAAATTCAGAGATACCGCGTACAAATGCTTCTGAATCCTTTGAGGTTGGCATAACACTGAATTCATGGATTTAATACAGCAAGTTGCTTTTTGCGTTTACAACAAATCAGATTAATTAAACACGATTAACAGCATTACATTTAACACGATTAACACCAAATTGCCTAATTTGGCATTATAAGCATAATTCTATGAAGCCGTTCTGAACTAGCACACACTCACAGGCCCCGTTTCAATTATAATCACACTTATTGTGCTTTTATGATAATTAAATTCAGCCATACAAAGAGTGCAAATGACTTTACTCTTATTAGTCCCATCTGGATTTCATTTATGACAAATTTGCCATTCAAAAAGTCATTATTTCAATATTTTTCCATCATTTACCCATAAATGAGAGCCCTGGTGCGTGTGTTAAACTCAATACAGCCACAAAAGTTGCAACAATCCCAGTTTTCTCTCAATATAAATGCGTAGACTTAAATTATAAGTGCTTGAATGTTAGAAAAGGCCTCTGGGCACGAGCAGCTCTATCATGAGCATCCAATTCATGTCCACTTTTAATGGCAGTGGTGAGATTTCTGTAGACGCCATCAAATACACTGCAGCATCCACACTGAACAGCTAGGGGGAAAAGGGCAAACACATAATGACGAGCCGCTGTGGTCTATAAGTTTGTTTGTGATGCTGGAGATTAGAGACGGAGTGTTAGCGTCCTGATCCTAGATCAGCGTATCGGCCGAGACTCACAGAGACCAGGCTCATCGCTTCAGATAATTAGCTCCCGGGAGGATCGTTAACCACTGCGGCTCTGAGCAAATAAAAGGCCTTGCTTAAAGAGAGGAGACGCACACCAAAGGACAGAGGAAAATATGAGAGGACATCAATAACTCAAGCCACTGGACTCATTTAGCAGGTCTACAATGACAAAACACAGCAGAGACCGGGTTAAAAAGTCAAACTGACGCTTCATGTCAGTATAGGGGAGCAACTCACTAAAAGTAATGACACAACTTAGCTAACATAGATACATTCACACTCTGAGCAGGGGCGCAGATGGGATTTTTTAATTGGGGGGTACCAAGCTGTCAGCAATAGGGATGTAACGATTCACTCAACTCACGATTCGATTCGATTCACGATTTTGATTTCACGATTCGATTCGATTCACGATTTTTTTTTAACAAAATGAGATTTAAGACAAATTATAAATTAAATGTGTCCTTTTATCATTGCTTGGACAAAATACTGTACGTTTCTCTGTGAAATTGAAATATAACACTATAATAATATACTAATATAGCACTTGCATATGCATTATACAGAGGCAAGAGGAAAAGACAGTAAGTTTCCCTCAGACATGCATTCATATAAACTCCTACCACATGAACGTACACAACCATGGCAACGACGATCGTGGAAACAAGTGAAGATGACACACAATCATATTCAAACAAAAGCCAACATGGATAAGTTGTGTGAAACAAAGCAAAGTCAACGTTACTCACCTATCAGAAAGAAACAGGACAACCTTGGCGTCCGATTCGAGCCCTTCCCGCTCCTTGAGTATCTCTCCACTGCTGGAAAGCTGCTCCGATATTTACGCGGGTCCTACCTCTTGCCTGATCGAAACCCTTCTTTTTAATGTTTTGTTTCTCTGATATTTTCCTCTTTTTTATCTGTCATCTCTCTCTATCTATAGTCAATCTGCTAATATCCGTCATGTGCGCTCAAATTGAGCGCTCTCTTCTCTCTATCAGTACAAGACACGCCCCCTTACTGCTGATTGGCTACAAGTGTGTTTTGGGACCAAGTCAGACACTGCGGTCAAAAGCGTTTTTCAAAAATCGCTTAGTGCACGTTTAAAGGGGTCATAGGATGCCCATTTTCCACAAGTTGATATGAATCTTTAGGGTCTTAATGAAAAGTCTGTAACATAGTTTGGTTAAAATTTCTCAATGGTAGTGTAAAACACACCTTTTTTACCCTGTCAAAAACAGCTCTTTTCAGATCAAGCTGTTTTTGTAGCATTTTCCTTTAAATGTTAATGAGCTCTGCTGACCCCGCCCCTCTCTTCCGAGCCGCTCTCAGAGAGACT